CACAACCTCAGCCCATCAATAATGAAACCCGAGTGATGCTGTATGTTTTCCCTCACTTTCAATTACTTTTTTTGGCGTGCAAAATACATAAAACATTAATATGCTTCAACTTGGCAAGCTGCTACATGCTTTAAAGTGGCCCAAATTCTGTTTATTAATGAATTTCAGTGTGGTTTTTGAATTGTGCAGGGAATTTACTTACTCATGACAAAGCTTGGTTGTTTGGGATCAGACAAACTAGAGCTCTTCAGTCCTTGTAAATGGCATTGAAAAGGTAAATAATAGTAATAATAAAAATAATCCTTGCATTTGATATAGCGCTTTTCACATCGGGAGGACTTCCCAAAGCGCTTCACAGAACACATTGTAAAGTGAATTGACTGCATATTTGTGGGCAAGCGTGGCAGCCAATTGCACACAGCAATGTTCCACAAACAGTCATAGATTGAAAATGATCAATTTATTATTGTTTTTGGTTTTGAAGGGATTATTATTAGGCGTGTGGAGTAAGGAAACTTGCCCAAGGTTTCGCCCTCTGCCTGGAATTGAACTTGGGTCTCTCGTTTGCAAAGCGAGTGCTCTAACCACTGAGCTACAGGACTCCACAGTCCTGCTTAAGTGTTGAATCAGGCTGACCTCAGAAATTTACGGATCGGCAAATTTTCAAACACACGCACGGCAACTGCGGCAATACTTTTCACTGCAGTGGACGTTAATTCGAAAGAAGCAGAAAGTTGATGCTGAAGGCCGAATATTCAACAAAGAATGGACTTCTAAATTCTGAACAGTACTTTAGGGTCCATCAAGAGATTAGAACAAGAGGACTCAGGTGTAGAGTTGCAAAGGGAATTGATTCACTGATAGACACTGGGAGATTTTTCTTCAGGTTTTCAACAGTTTGCTAGGAAGGGTGGATATGTTTTTAAAAAAAGCTTACTGTAATGGGAAAGCAGTAGAGTGAATATTATGGAAGGATGAAATCAAATGGGCTGAAGAGCCTTATTCATGCAACCCATCTTGAAGAGTAGAAATGTACAGAAAGAAGCTGTTTGGAACAAAATAACAGAATAAGAAAAAAAATGGCTCGTTAGAGTTTGCCTTGGTTGATAATTACCTGTCTGTGTTGCATTACTGTTAACTTACCAAATTATAGTATTTTGTGTTTTCAGATATCTTTTGGATAATAAAGAAATTGCAAAGGGAAAGACGGTGCTAGATCTTGGAAGTGGCTGTGGTGCATCTGCAATTGCAGCGTCCATGAGTGAAGCAGCAAGTGTGGTGGCGAACAACACAGATCCAAGTAAGCTGAAACAAGTTCCTGACACGTATGTGCATGTGTGTCTTGGAGTGAGGCAGTAAAATGCATCCTCTCTTATCGTCAACTGTTTTGGGGTTGACAGGAGCATGACAGGAAATATATTAATTAATAATAATCCTTGCATTTGATATAGTGCCCTATCACGTCGTTGAGACATGTCAAAGCGCTTCACAGGATATACTGTAAAGTGGATTGACTGTGTATTTTGTGTATTATAAAGAGATAAATAAAATCTGCAAATGCTATTGTAAAATTAATTTCAGAAAATGCTAGATAATTCACTGCAGGTCACTGAAACAGAAGCTGAATGATGAACCTGTTCGTTCAGATGTGAATTATTTCACAGCTTTTTGTGTTTTCTCTTAGAATAAAATGTCTAACTTGATCCATCAGCTCTTTCAATAACCAACTCTTCAGCCCTTTTATTTAAACAGATTCAGTTTTCCCGTTACATTGAACCTAATGAAATTATGAAAGAAGAAATTTGTATTTTTATAACATATTGCAATAAAACCTTTCAACACACCTCACAAGCAATAATCGTCAAGTGAAGGAACTGTTTAGTACAGAAACACAGCAGCTATTTTGCTCACAGCTAGGTCCCACAAAAGAACCGGATCTGTGGAAACACAGTGAGAGTGCTTATTTTAATTATCTGCTGAAACGGATCTTAACTGAGATAGACCAAGACGTCAATTTCAAACAGACTCAAAGAAGAAAATGACAGAAAATCTATCACCAGTTTTTATTGCTTTGAATACATAACCAAGAAACAATACGATAGAAGAATTTCACTTAGCGATTTACCTTAAGGCACTTGTAGAAATCTACAACACAGCAATTTTCCCCATTGATTTGATGTCAATGTTTGCTTCTCCAATGAAGCCATCCAGCCCAATCCCATTCCCTGCTCAATACCCATTATCCTCCAATCTCCTTCCTCTGCAAACATCTTTGTGTGTCATTATTTTCTGCAATTATATTTATACAACGAGAACCATCATATGAGTAGAAAATTTAAGATAAGAAACTCTTGCAATCAACACGAGAGCTGTTGCTCATTACCATTCATTTTAACTTTCCTCTCAAATTCCAAATATCTCACATTCTCTTCCTTCATTCTCATAATGTTGAATTCAACAAACTTCCTGTTCAATCATCGCCAAGGTTGTGAGCTCCTTACCTTCTTTGGTCTTTTAGTTTACAGTCTCCAGGCTTTTAAGACCAAACTTTTGTTCAAAGTTCAGAAATTAAGTTCCAATTGGAATGTTTTTATGGAAGCTGGGTGTGGGAACAATGTTTGGCTTATGCTTAGTCACATTTGAGCCTCAGTTTGATATTCATAGAAAGCATTGATTTAGGGTATAGTTAAAATGTTGCAAATTTCATATTTCAAAGTATATCAAATTTTAGTGTAACCTTCCAGTTTTTCAAAAGCTGTGAGAAATCAAATGCTATTCTGTCTGCAGATAGTCAGGCTCAACCTTCCCCACAACAGTAAGGGTGTGATTGGGCCTTTGGACGTGGAGGACAAATTGAACCAAAACTACAACTCAAGACTTAACAGCAGCAAGTTATTGCTCCAACGTACTCATAACATAATCTTATGAATGTGTGGTGTATCCAATAAAAAAAAATATTTCTGCGGTATATCCTTTTGTACGAACTGGCACAATAATTGTACTTAATTCACATTGAAGAAGATTTATTTTTTGAAATCATCAGTTATATATTGATTTGTTTTTGTTAACTCAAGCACTCGGGATGCAGAGTTTGAAAGAAGCATGATGAGAAATGGCCTTCATTTTATTTCCCCGTCACAATTTGAGCAAGCAAACCGGAATATTTGATTCTTGTGTGCGCTAGGTTAATTGATCTCAGTTTAGGCATGCATTCAGGTGCTACCATTGGGCTCAGACACACAAGATGGGAGAAGGAAAAAACAACCAGTTCTCTCACTTCCAATTTCGGGGCAAGCTTTAGCAGGTTGGAATCTATGGGTAGAATTTTTATAGTATATTTTGCCCACAAATTCACTTTACAGTATATTCTGTGAAGCGGTTTGAGACGTCTAGAAGACGTGAAAAGCGCCATATCAAATGCAAGGATTATTATATATTTATATAGAAAGACTGGTTTTCGACCACTAAAAAATGTGTAACTTTCAGGTGGTCAGGTTGCTGCACATGAGCCGAAAGAGTGCTTATGTCACTTCCTGCACCCTGGACAAGCACATTAAGTGCATGAAGTGTCGCTTACATCGCTGTTCCATGCAGGAAGTGATGCTGGCATAATTTCCTTTCTAAAGGTATGACATCGATACGGAATCTATGACCCGAGAGTTGGCCATTTTTCTGCGCTCAGTTATTACGTGAGGCCTGAGACAATGGACCCAGACGACCACATTATAATGGGGTTGTCCTGTACTATTCAGATTTACCCTGTTAAAAAATATAAATGTAGGCATCGGGTGATGGCAAAATCAGGCCCTTTAGTTGAACAGCTTGCCAAATCACATCAAGATTGTCCACTTGGGCAAAGTGCAAGAAGACGAATGGCTTAAAACCAACATTTAGAAAATCATAATCTGACAAAAGAACTGACTTGAAATCTGCAGCATGAAAGAAATCCACTAAAAATTGGTCAGCTTGCCGCAACTTACCTTATGCCCACTTTATATATCGCCTGTGCTTTTCAAGAACATAACACAAAAATAAGTTCAAGGAACGTATTAGGACATAAGACAGACTGATAAAATGGGCAGACACTCGGCAGATGAAGTTTAATGTGGAGAAATGCAAAGTGATGCATTTTGGGAGGAAGAATGAGCCAATATAAGCTGATGGTACAATCTTAGAAGGGGTGAAGGAACAGAAAGACTTGGTGGGGGGGTTCATATAAGTAAATCTTTGAAGGGGCAGGACAGGCATAAAGCTGTTAAAAACTATATGGGATACTAGGCTTTATAAATAGGGGCCTAGAATTCAAAAGTCTGGAAGTTATGAACCTTTATAAAACACCAGTTAGACATCAGCTAAGGTACTGTGTTCATTTCTGGGCACCACACTTTAAGAAGGATGTCAAGGCAATGGAGAGGGTGGAAAGGAGATTTACCAGGATGGTACCAGGAATCAAGGACTTCAATTATCAAGAGAGACTAGAGAAGCTAGGATTATCCACCTTGGAGTAGAGAAAGTTAAGAGGAGATTTAATAGAAGTTTTCAAAATTATGAGGGGATTCGATGGGGTGAACAAGGAGAAGCTATTTCCATTGGCAGGTGGGTCAGTAACCCCAGGACACCACTTTAAAATAGTTGTTGAAAGAAATAGGGAAGATGGAGAATTTTTTTCACACAGCGAGTTGTTCGGATCTGGAAATGCATTGCCTGAAATAGGGTGATTCGATAACAACTTTTAAGAAAAGAGAGTAGATAATTATTTGGTGAGGACAAGTGTGTAGGTCTATAGGGAGAGCGCGGGGGAGTGGGATTGATTTGGTTATCTCTTTTCAAAGAGCCGGCACAGACATGATGGGCCGATTGGCCTCCTTCTATGCTGTATAATTCTATGGTTCTTAACTCTGGACACATTTAGTTGTTGCATACAAGCAAGAGAAAAGGTGAAAGCAAACCTTCTCCCCATTCTAGAAATGCTCTGCTATCAGAAAAAAAAGACTCCATGATTCTTTTATATGCTTTTTAATTTATGGCTATCGCTGTCTATAATTTAAATGATAAATCAACATTGAAATTAAGCCATCGTTTTTTTATAACTACTCCTGCTTTGTAATCAAAATCGTAAATGCATTTTCAGTAAATTTATTTTCACATCATAAGAAATGTAACAGGGACAGTATCGATACATCATACATAAGCAACGGATGTCCTCAACACAACTAAATTCAACACATGGATTATGGTTAACCCAAATTAATCCAAACAGAAATTTTACTCTGGTATACAAAAAATATTAGTTGATGCACTGCACATTGCCACACAATATTTTTTTAAATTACTGAATGACAAGTAGCGTAGAGAAGATCATTAGTAAACAGTCCAGGTCACTTGTTTGATTTTGTTGGGGCCAACTAACTGTTCTAGAGCTTCTCGTGAACGATCTACCAAAAGAGAAACAAAAGGGGCCAAGAGTTGAAAACAGTTGTTACAGCTTAATATGTTTTTAATTCTAACAATCTATCTCTGGAACTTTCATGTGTAAGTGGGATGCATGTAATTCTCAACTTGGTTTGAATACTCTTAAGCATGGTGATGGGACTCTGCATATGTCGGACATCTGGTTGAGCAAACAAAATATTTTTAACCTGAGTACACATGCATAATGTAGAATCCGAAGTGTTTCTGTATTTTCAATGGCATGGCAGGTTTTTCCATTTTTAGTGGCACAGAGTTTGCATAGGGATATGAAAATCTTTTTTTATTGGAAATCTTAAATAGTTAAGCATTTGAACCACTAAAGTGCATTTGACAAGATTTCTTCATCTTTCAAACTGATGTAATCAGAAAGTAAAGACTTTAGGGTCTGGGTCAAATCGCAACAATTAGTCCTCCCATGCTCTTGCTATTTTTCGGACTGTCAATTAGAGCTAACCTAATGGCAACAGATCATTCAAAGTTGTCTTGAACGACACCCAACAATGGATGTACACTGTCCCATAACTGCTGAATGCTGCAGCAAAATCAATATTGGGTCATAATTTCCAGTTAAAGTGCAACAATACAAATTCAACTTTTCAAACGTGCAGCTCAGTGCAAGTGAATAAATAACCTGCCTGGTCTCTACAGCTCAGTGCTGGAAAACACAGAGGATTGTATTTGTGGATCTGACAGGAATTTGTGGTTAAAGAGCCTGAAAAACTTCTGGCAAATAAGGGTACATTATAAATTGGTTGAACGTCAGGAAGCAAAAAAAAATTATTGAAGGTTTAAAGGAACTGCAGAAACAGACAGAGGTCAACAAGGATTTATATCTAAGACATCTGCTGTAAATGAAGAGGGCCTTTGGGCCAATTTGATCTCATCCTTCCAGATTACCCACTCAGCACAGAATCAGGCTGCTTATTAACCGAGTCCACGTCCTGCCTCAACTTCCCTTCTTGGGAAGTTGTTCCTGTTGATTTTTACCCTCTAGGTAAAGAAATACTTCTTAGTGCCTATTCTGATTATTCTTATTCTTTGCAAGCTGTAAACCTGTGCCCTCTTGTTCTGTTGTCTCGCCTCATTTAAAATTTATGTTCTGGGTTTACTTTCTCAATCCCAATTAAAATTTTAAATACTTAATATCCCAAAGATACCTCTTCTCAAGACTGAAAAGCCCCAGTTTATCTAATTGGTGTTCAAAACTCATTCCCGTTAGACTAGGGATTGTGAAAAGAATCCTTGCAATTGATATAACGCCTCATGTCAAAAAGTCTCAAAGTGCTTCAGTTTTCTGTAACAATTTGAGGATAGCAGTTTCCACAAACAGTTGTGAAGTGAATGACTAATGTTATCTTAAAGATTGTGGATAAGCACATTGCGAGAAGAAACTCCCTTCTCTTTCAAGGAGTGCCATTGGATCTTTCACATACACTTCAACAGGTATTTGAAGGGATTAAAGTAATTCAGCAATTGGAATTTACTGTTGAGAAGTGTCAGGCGATAAACTGACAAAGATCAGGTTCCCTGATGACTGGAATGGTAAAAGCTTTGTCAAACTGGGTCTTTAAAAGTCACAGGATTTATTTTACACCAATGTCCACTAATTCCGGTGATGTCACCGACGACAAAACATAGGGATCCTACAGTTGGCTTCCATGGGAAAGGGAAAAAATCTTCAGCTAGTTTCCACTCTGGAGTGGTATCGAGGATTCTTTCTGACATGTACAAGTCTTGGTGAGAATTTTGAGCTCAGCCATGATAGCCCAAGGAGGAATAGCTGTCTTACGTTCACTCAGGCTCACACATGAAGAGATAATTATGCAAAGTACAAAGAAAATGGGGCTTGTGGGACAGCAAGATGCTGCTGACACAACATAAACTGCTCTCTTGTGAGCAAGATTAACATTGGAGGGAGAAAATAAAAGATGCATTATCAAATAAGACAAGCTAAGATCTATCTTTGTCATTGTCATATCACAATATCAGCTTGTGGTTCAAAAGGCAGATAGAACATTCAAGAGATCAACTTGTTTATCTCAACAGGTCACAGGAAATGATACACAAACCAATCAGTCTTAAGAGCTGTTTGCTTGCAAGACTGAGCCATTCCACATCAGGTCGGGAGTAAGGCAGGGCTGTCCTCCATCCCCCACCCTGTTTGTCTGCTGCATCGAAACCTTTGCATGGGCCATCAGGAGGGATGAAACATAAAGGTGTCACCTTCCCGGGCAGCCATGGCACATAAGCCAAGGCCTCCCTGTATGTGGATGAAGTCACAGACCAAAAATCGGTCTCGAGGATGCTAGGCATTTGCGACCGGTTTGAACAAGCCTCAGGAGCCAAGGTCATCCGCCAGAAAAATGAGGTGATGTATTTTGGAGACTATAAAGAACGCAATCACATATCTTTTGCGGTGAAGCCAGACTACGTAAAAGTCCTCGGCATCTGGTTCAGGGTTGCCGGAGCGTGCTAAAAACGCTGGGAGGAGCGTCTAGGTATAGTGAGGAAGAAACTGTTGTCCAGACTCCCATGCAATCACCGAGTGGTCTGCGTGGCAGGTAGTCAAAACAGTTTGAAAGGGGGAGGGGGAAAACCCGATCGGGAGGTACCCTGCAACGACAGATAGCTACGTCTGGCCCTGACCAACAACTATCAGGACATGGCCTGGCTGGTGATAAAAGGGGCCCCAACCCTCAGCGCTTTCAAGCACAGTCAGCACATTGCCCTTGGGACGGCTGCAGAGGCCCGGAGACCGTGGACCACCTCACCAGTTTTGGGTGCAATTGTCGGCTACCCGTTGGGTGAGCCCTGACTGGGTTGTGCCGAAGCGGCTCCTGCTGGCGTCAGGCACCATCTGGCCTTTGCCGTGATTGAGCCGAACTTCAGCTTGTCCCTCTGTATATAGCCCCTGATCCTAGCGTGCGCAAACTTGAGGCAGACCCTCACCTCCCCCTCTTTCTGCCAGAAGAACAGCTAGTTTTGGAAGTGCCAAAGGGCCTTCTTTACCGAGTTTATGATCTTCCAGTCACACTCGATGTGAGTTTCGCTGTGAGTGCCCGGGAACAGGCCATGCAGCTCTGAGTGCCATGACAGAGTGACAAATTGCGAGAGAATCCATTCCATTTTTTTCAAAACTGCCTTTGCGAAACAACGGAAGGTTTTTTGTATCAGGAGAAAGGGAAAAAATTGTAACAGAAGATATTGTGTTTGCTTGGGATTTCTGTTGTACTAAATATTATATTTATAAATAAATATATATTTTCAAAAAAAGCTGTTTGCTTCAAGCAATGTCAGATGAGAAATGCAAGAAAAAAGCATGATGATCTTAGATCATAGAGTTGTAAGGGAAACTGGCAACAACTTGCATTTATAAAGCTCCCTTAAAACGAGGTGATATTTAAAATAAGTGAAAACACTTTAGTTATGGGGGGGTGAAGAGAGAAAAAAAGAGCACATTTATGCAAAAATGAAATTGTGAAGTGAAAAGCCTTCATTATACTTAACTGAAGTCAAGACTAAAGATAACAAAATGAATAACCATTTTACATATTCTGCTAAATTGTATCAGAAAGTTAAACATTCTGAAACAAGATAATACATTTGTGCTTAAGTCTGTCTTCCCCCTTTCATTTCATCCACAACAATCCTATGGAGAACCCAGTGAGTTGGCATTCAGTGTCAAAATCCAGCAGCATTCATTAGAATGGGTTTTGAAAATGTCCTGGTTTCTTATCACCAAGTGCTTAGTTATAAATGGGATTCACTAATAAGTCAGGTGGCCTGTTGCTGGCTTCCTGCATGTTAAAAAATTGACAACTTCTGGATCTTCAAGTTGTCATCAACAACACTTCCAACTTACTATCACGAGTACCACCAGAAAGTGACATATGACCCAGAAATCATTCATTTGTTATCATGGATAATGCAGCGAGTCAACAGTCATGTGACAGCATGATGCACAAGTGATGATCTTTTTAGGCAGGCTGGAATTTTATGAATTTTACACTGTAACACTCATTATTACTTCTGCACTTGTTTCTGTTTCACACTGACTTTACAAGCCAATGTGAACACATGAGTCTTGGCAGATGATCCAATACATTATCTTTTTATAAATAATATAATACTCCCTGCTTGTCGGCCTTCCCAATGCAGCATTCCCCTGACAATGCATTGGAATGTCAGCCTGGACTCGTCTGTTCAAACTCCTGACATGTGGTTGGAACTCACAATCTCCTGACTCAAGTGGTGAGAGTGCTACCAGCTGAGCCAGGCTGACATAGTTAGGATTGGACACTTCACTGTCTAATTTTGCTTGCTCTTGGGCTAAGGGTATTTTAGCAGAAACGTTGACTAACCTGTTATGAGAGGACAATCATGGAAAAGTAGAATAAAAATTTGAGGACAATTGATGAGCACACTTTCAACAGCATCATCCGTTAGGTTTACACATCGGTTCATATGAATTTCCTGCAGAAAGAGCAGCAAGATACTACACATTAAAACAATTGCAACAGATAATCACCAAAGTGTTGTTGATCAACTCTTCCACTCCCAAAAAACAAAAGCAACTTATGCTTATCACCAACAGAAGTTACGAGGTTTTAAATAAGAATTGTGAACTACAATGCAAAATCTTACCTTTATTATTTGTGAACACACACCACTCACCAATCCAATGACCCCAGCATCTGAAACCTGATAACAAAACTGTAGAATGTAAAATGCAGCAATTTCATTCAAAAAGATGACATAAATCAAATAATTAGGTTTAATGTTAACCTTAAATTCAACAGCTTCCTTATGCCTTGAGTTTTTTTTTACATTGGCTGTTATCAGCACAGATAACAAAGGATGTGACAAGTAATGTCTGTAAAGCATACTGGGGAGAGGGGCCTCCTTAGGTCTGAGCGGTTTCTAGGTCACTTGGCAATGGAATATCATCGTCATGTGAATCCTCTCAGTTAACTGGTTCCTGGGGTAGGCAAGTCTCTAGTACCTCAAAGTACTGTTTAAAGGGGCAGACCAGTCACTGGATGTTGGAAATTCTTCTTGTTAGGCTCCTGCAAAACCCTAACAAGTGAAGTGCCCAAACTGGACCAGCAGTGGAAAGCTTGCCAGACAACATTCTCAGTGTAAAGCTCTGTGATTTGAGCTAGTTCAATCCAGGATTATCTCTGAGGTGCACAAGCCTTGTCGCTTGCCAACTCGTGCCTAATATTTTCCCGATATTGAGTAAGCAGAGTGCATAATCGATTCCAGAAAAATGGAAATCATATATGTAACTCTGGCTTGGATACTCTGAAACATGGTGATGGGTTTCCACCCAACTGACCAAAACATAATTTGCAATGCACTGTGTATTTAATGTGCAATTTAAACATAAGAAATCCCTTCTTTAATAGTAAACTTTTAGGCAAGAGCTTCAGTTGGCACAATTGTGCATTTAATTGCAAAACTGAATGAATACCATTACTTCATGAATGAAAATGAACTGTTCAAACTCCCTCATACTTCGCTGGATAAATACAGGTACATCACTGTATGAGCCACACAAAATAAGATCCCAAGTATAACACACATGTCCATGTATGTGCAGATCTCAGATGGCAAGGGATGGATAGTACATTGGAATGAGTTCCCAAACACAATTGTGAGCCACTACACCCTGCTAAAGTACCAGGCTCAGCTGGTTCATTTCACTCCCCAACCCTGTGCAAAAACCCTCTAGGAAAGCAGATCCAAACTCAGTTTATGAATAAGTCACTTGGGTGAAATTATTAAAAGGCCATCAGCAGTTTAGCACCATACGCTCGAAAATTCTTATAGAAAATCTCTTAAAATGTTAGCTTGCAGAATTTTCCGAAATGATTGAACATTTAAGGTGTTTATTTCAGACCTAAATTTTCTTTAAATAACCTGTTTCATAAAAGACGGGCTGAAGGAGAAAAACCATCGAGGAAAAAGATAATGTGTATTTCACTCACAAGATTTCGCCTTCAGCCCTCAAATAAATATTTACAATTAATCATCTGGTTCAAACTGACCACTGTACCTTGGTTGCTGAAAAGTCAACACTGTGCAAGAATCTGCAATGCTTCCCCAATGCATGCAAGCTGGCATCTGTGATACTCAGGCAGCCTCCGATGTTTATTATTTGTAGCAATTTGCACTGCTGTGCAAGGGCAACTATCCCTTCATCTGAAACATTTCTACACCGTTTGAGGCATACTTCCGACAAATGGGGGCAGGATGACGCCACAACTTTTAAACCTGCAGGAAGCAGAAAGGAAAATCAGAGGATCGTTCTGCACAAAGTATTCTTACAGTTCAGACAGTAAGTGATGGCAAGTTGTTCAACTCACATCACTTGCAGATATAAATGCTTCACAAGTTCGGTTCAGATTAAAAAAAAGACCTTTCAGCCCATTTGATCTGATCCTTCCAGAATACCCCCTTAACATCCTCCCATCAAATAAAAAACATCAAAATACATCTTCACAAACCGGGCATACCGTTGAATCAACTGGTTAGCATGTCCACTGTCTTGCAATTTGACCCAAAGATATTTACCCACAAGAAAATTATTTCCAATAAGCCAAACCTATAATGACAGAGACATTCTACCATTCCGTAATCTTTCATCCATCCTTTTAACCATAAGGCCACAAACAAATTGGTATGCCACCAGCAACCTGAAGCACCTTCATAAGTCTGTGTCTTACAGTATCTCCCATTCTGGAGGATAGGCATGCCAATACATCAATGCAAATAAATTATCTTACAAGCTTTTTCACAAACTACTTCTGATCAACAATCCTCCAGCAAGTTGCGGGTCCATAATTTATTTACCCGATTCAATTAATTTTAAGTCTTTCTATTAGATAATTTCTCTTTTTGGGTTGCTTCTGTATCCTGCAGTACTTTCCTGCTATGAAGATGGGCAACTCTTGGTTCCAGATCTCTCTAATGGAACAAATGTTGATGGAAATGCAACTTTGGAACGAGTTGCCACAAGTTTAAGCTCTCTCCCCTTCCAATTTCCTCCTGCACAGATAGAAAGAGGGCAAGACAGAGGGGTAGAGAGAGGGAGTTCCAAAGGCTAGGGGCATAGGAGCTGAAGGCTTGACCTCACATGATAATCTGGAAGGGACCGGGGAACGCTCTGCTGCCTTGAGTTAGTGAATTGGAGCGGTGCACAGAACAGTGGAGTAGGAGGTCACAAAGATGGTGAAGTCCTGGAGTACGAACGACTTTGTGAAGTCAATCTTTGGCATACAGAAAGCCAGTGGAGCCTGTTGAGGGCTAGGGTGATACGCATGGCGCATTTTCTGCAGGCAAGTTGGCCAACAACGTTTTAGGGTCAGCTGGAGTCAACTGCAAGTGGAAGTAGAGAGAGCGGCAAGAAATACATTGGAAAAGTCTAGTGGATGAGAAATCTTTAGGAGTCAAAACAACTTGCATTTTTGGAGTGCCCCTCAGGCAGGGTAGTCTTGGAATGCCATATTATAATGGGACTGTATATATCCATGCCATGATCCAATTTGCCTTCACCACACCTCCGCAATATCGCCCAACCCCGCCACTGCCTCTCCCCTCAAGCCACCGAGATCCTCATCCATTTGTTACATCTAGGCTTGACTCTGCCAACTCCCTGCTTGTCGGCTTTCCCAACTCTTCCCTCCACAAACTGCAGACCATTCAGAGCTCTGCAGCTTATACCCTCTCGGGCACCACCCCCACCCTCGCCCGGTTCCACTGGACATCACCCACATAGAGCTCAAAATCCTCATTTTCACTTTCAAGCCCCTCCATTGCCTTGGTCCTTTCTACTTCTGTGACCTATTAACGCCATATCGATCTGTCCACTCCCTCCGCTTAGCACGCTCCAACCTGCTCCATGTTCCCCGCCCAGCCCACCCCACCATCGTCAGTCAAGCCTTCAGCCTCTCTGTACTGACATTTTCGAACTCTATCCCACAATCCCTTCGTCTTACTCCCTCCGTTGCCTCCTTCAATGCACATCTCAAGGCCCTCCGCTTTGACCATGTCTTTGTTCGCCCTTCTACCCCTACCCTCTCTGCCCTCCACCTCTCCTGATCTCAACCCCCTGCTCGCTTCCAAATGCCCGATTGTCCAGCACCTTGGGATGTCTCCCGAAATGAGAGGTGCTATTCAAATGTAATTTGTTGTTGTTATACTGTGCTTCACACCTTTCTTGAGTTTTCACACTTTCACACACTTCCTGTGAAGTATGTAGTGCTTTAAATTAGTACAACTTGTTCTTGTTGTGTTTGATAGAGAACTACACAATAAAAATGATTCCAAACTACCAACAAGAGATTTGGGCTTGCACATAACACTGCTGGTAAAGAGACAGAAGTTTCCCCCAGTGCCCTGGTTAACAATGAAATAGATTGAGAAGTTTTTCATCTCATGGCTGTCTGTGGGACTTGGCTGTGAGCAAACTTAGGTCATGTTTGCTGGCAAAGAAAATCTCTCCATCTGACAATAATTTCTGTTTTATTAAAATTAATTCATTTATTTGTCAGACTGGGAGCTTGTGTTCTTTTCGTAATATCATTATTTTAGGGGTTAGCTCGACTTGCACAAAGCTGCATATTGCCCTGACATTTTGAGTTGTGAAAGCAAACATCATTAATTCATTTATTTTGCCCTTAATGTCTTTCTCTCACTTTTCTTTCATAGAGGTGATCAATATATATAAAATACCTTCTGAGGTTATGGAGAGCGTATACTGTCGGGAATTTAAATTGATTTTCCGCAGTTGTGTGCAAACCTGAAGCAGCATCAATCCATCATCTGAAATGTTACAGTCACGAAGGTCCAGTTTCTGGAGCCCTGGATGCAACACCTGTATTCAGATCACAAAGTCAGTCAATAAATATCTGAAAACAAATGAACTTGTACCTCACCTAGCTTCAGCCACAACACTTGACATGTGATAAGGCGTGAGCCAAGGGCACTGCTCTTCCACAGAACCATTTATGTTTGGAGACTGACAATTCCCGACCGATTTTTCCTCATGTAACATGAAGATTTTGTGGAAAGGATGAAGTGACAGATGCCGTAATGTCATCAGTCTCATTCATCCACACGGAACCAATATAATAATAATAATCCTTGCATTTGATATAATCCCTTATCATTTCTTTGAGACGTCTCAAAGCGCTTCACAGAATATACTGTAAAGCAAATTGACTGTACATTTTGTGGCCGAAACGCAGCAGCCAATTGCGTACAGCAGTGTGCCACAAACAGTCGTGGATTGAAGTGACCAATTTATTACTTTTTTTTACAGAATTTTTTGAAGGGATTATTATCTCTGGAAAAACAACGTGCGAATCGACCAACGACAACAACAACTTGTATTCATATTGAAATCGATCTGTTCGGTGTTAATGAGCTGGGCTAGAACTGGTGTGATGGGGGGTACGGAGTTTAGTACAGGTGAGTATGCGGGAAGTGGAGACCATCAAAGAGGGCATATGAGAAGTTGAGTTGGGAGGTGACAAACACAGGTTTGGCTGCATCTGGGGTAAGGTGTGGTCAGAGGCGGCCAGTTTGGCGGAGGTGGAGGAAGGCGGTCCTGGTCAGGGACCAGATGTAGATAGGAACATAAGAAATGCTAGACGAAAAGAAGACCAAGGTCCAGCTAGTTTGCCTTCTACCTTCCTGGCGATCGCATTCACACATGTACTGAACTACCTATGTACTATATCCCATAATGTTATTTCCTAAAACAAAACTATCTAATCTGTGTTTGAAGGAATCAACATTTCCTGCTTCAACCGTCTCTCTCGGGAGACTGTTCCACAGATTTATTATTCACTCACTGAAATAGTGTTTCCCTAGATTCGTTCTGAATTTACCCCCCTTGAATCGCAGACCGTGTCCTCTGGTCTTACTATTCTGGACTAGTTGAAACAGCCTGTCATGATGTACATTGTCCCTTTAGAATCTTAAAGACAGCAATCATATCGCCTCTCAATCTTCTCTTTTTCAGCATGAACATGCCCAATTTACTTAGTCTCTCCTCAAAGTCCCTCCATTCCCTCAACCATTCTGGTTACCCGCCTCTGTATCCTCTCAATTTCTCCCACATCCTTTTTGTACTGCGGCAACCAGAACTGTGCATAGTACTCTAAGTACTGTCTCACCAATGATTTAAACAGTGTCAGGATTATCCCACTATTTCGGTTTGCTATTGATCTTTTGATACATCCTAACATCTGGTTTGCTTTACTCACTGCCACAGAGCATTGTTGCGAGAGCTTCAATTTGTTGTCAATCAGGAACCCAGGTCCTTTTCATTTTCCATACATATTATTTTACTTTAGTTCAAATAATAGTTTGGATTTCTTGTCCCCACGTGAAATGCTTTACATTTCTCCACAATGAATTTCATCTGCAACCGGTCTGCCCAATTCCCAAGTATGTTCAAATCCTCCTGTAACCTTTCTTGTTCAGTTTTGCAATCTATCTACCACCCTAATTAACTTGGCGTCATCTGCAAACTTAGGCACTGTGCTAACGACTCCTAGTTCCAGATAATTTATAAAAATATTGAACAAAAGAGGTCCCAAAACAGACCCTTCTGGAACTCCACTGGTAACATTTTCTGAGCCTGATGACATTCCCTGTACCACCACCCTCTGGGTTCTTCAGTGGAGTCCTATAGCTTCTTGTGGAGTCCTGTAGCTCAGTGGTTAGAGCACTCGCTTTGCAAGCGAGAGACCGGAGTTCAATTCCAGGCAGGGCGAAACCTTGGGCAAGTTTCCTTACTCCACACGTCTAATAATAATCCCTCCAAAATCAAAAACAATAATAAATTGGTCATTTTCAATCTACGACTGTTTGTGGGACATTGCTGTCGCAATTGGCTGCCGAGTTTGCCCACAAATACACAGTCAATTCACTTTACAGTGTGTTCTGTGAAGCGCTCTGGGACGTCCTCCGGACGTGAAAAGCGCTATATCAAATGCAAGTATTATTATTATTATTATTCCGGTCAACCAATTGCATATCCATTATAATATACTTACACTGATTCCCGTTTTCTTGACTTTTAGTATCAACCTCTCAAGAGGAACTGTATCAAAGGCCTTACTGAAATCCAGATGTACAATATCAACAGCCTTTCCCTTATCAAGCTCCCTTGGCACACTGCTGTCAAAGAAGACCAGTAAATTAGATTGGCAAGACCTCCTGTTCATGAACCCATAATTGGCTATATTGATGACTTTATTTCTGTCCAGGTGCTCTGTGATTTTATCCTTAATAAGAGTCTCCATAGTTTTGCTCACAATGGACATCAAAGTTAATGCTCTGTAGTTTCCTGGATCACTTTTGTTACCTTTCTTAAAAATAGGACTACATCTCCCTTATTCCAGTAATAATAATAATCCTTGCGTTTGATATAGCGCTTTTCATGTCTTCTAGACGTCTCAAAGCGCTTCACAGAATACGCTGTAAAGTGAATGACCGTATATTTGTGGGAAAAACGCGGCTGCCAATTGCGCACAGCAGTGTCCCACAAACAGTCGTGGATTGAAAATGACCAATTTATTATTGTTTTGTTTTGGAGGGATTATTATTAGGCGTGTGGAGTAATGAAACTTGCCCAAGGTTTCGCCCTGCCTGGAATTGAACCTAGGTGTCTCGCTTGCAAGGCGAGTGTTCTAACCACTGAACTACAGGACTCCACATACTTTGGCACCACTCCAGTATTCAGTGATTTCTGAAAGATTTGTGCCAGTGTTTCTGCGACTTGCTCCCTTAGTCCCTGAAGGATCCTCAGATGCAATTTATCTGGCCCTGAGATTTATGTACGTTAAGTTTGTTAGCCGTTTAGCAACCAACCTGTTCGTGGGGAAGGAAGGACAGCTGTAGGTCGAACCTGAAGCCGAGGTTGCGCACTGGTTCGGTAAGTCTGAAGGTTAGGCTAGGGAGGTTTAGGAGGTCAGAGTTGCAGGATAGAAGACGTTGACGGGAGCCAATGAGTCTGGCTTTTAACACACGGGTTCCTATTTACTGCTGGGTAAAAGAAGCATGCGGAGAAAGGAAACTTGCCTAATGTTTCGCCCTGCTCGGGAATCAAACCAGGTCCTCTTATTTGCGAGGCGAGTGATCTAACTACTACTTTATAGGACTCCAAAAAATGGAAGAAATAAGAGGTGGACAGGGGCACCTGATTGTCTCACAATTGTTCCTTCCATGCCAATCTCTGGCTGCTGTTGCCTTACACGTTTCCTTATGCTTGGGGAAATAAAATAATTTGCTTTGAGATAAGCAGATTATTATCAAGAAACTATGTGCCATAACAGGACATCTCGAAACATTATTCTTTTCATTTCCCACACCAGTTTAAATTTAACCCGAGAGAGACTGCAGATTTTATTTGTCCATTTCTTAAGAATATTTGATGAAATAAGAATGGATAAATTCAATGCAATGCCCAGCAACTATGGGTCCAAAGCTATTTAGCAATCTGGAAATATCCACCTGAAATTGGGCAGTGCTCAACTGCAATCTCTTAACAAGTACAGAGACAAACCGAAACAAGGGATGAAAAAGTAAAAAAATGACATAAATCCAAGTTGCCCCAATTTATTCTCACCTGACTTATGTTCTCATCTGTAACAGCACTCTGCATACTCATTATTTTAAGCAATTTGTCCTTCAAGTTTGGTGGCAGAGACTGCACATCATTGGAATACCGAGCAAATGATCTGACCAAACAGCGAAGACACCTAAAAAGGAACACCGCAACAGAAAACAATTAATAATGTACAAATGCCATGGTTGGGGTTTAACTGTATTCTTCACATGAGAGTAATCATATGGCTTTATGATTGTAAAGTTACCCAATTAGATTCTTCCTAAAACAATCTCAGGGTGATCCATGTGGCCGACTCACATAAACTTGGAGAAGAAACAGGTCATCTGAAGCTGTTGGACATTTATCGTCCGGGGGTGGGGGGGGGAGTACACGGGCCACCGTAGAGCTGAGCTAGCTCCGTAGTAACATGTCTGGCAATGGAATTGAGCCACTCTGTGGCAGTCTCGATAATCCGGTTCCTCAGCCAGGCAGTTCTTCAGTACTCTAGGGCATTGCTGATAACACCCTTGGCAGGATCCTGAAGGGCAGACCAGTCACTGGGGGCAGAGAGTCATACCACTAAGCTTCTGCAAGCCAAAGCCCTAACAGTGGAATGGGCGTAGTTGGTCAAGCAATAGGAAAGCTTTCCAGACAGCAATATCAATGGCAAGCTATGCAGGTTTAGCTGGTTAGACTCCAGCAGTACCCCAACACACACGCTGGGGTCCCCAAGGCTTGGCTCTTGCAAAACTGCGCCTAATACTTTCCGGAATTGGGCAAGCCGGATGCATCCCTCCAGGGAGAGTGCGCATTCCATTGCAACAATCAATCTCTGGAACTTCCATGTGTAGGTGGGATGCATGAAATTCTCAGTTTGGTTTCGATATTCTTAAGCGTGGTGATGGGTTTCCCCATGTGCCAGACACCAGGCTGACCAAAAGAAGGACAACAACGGCAATACTTTATTTGCTCATACTTCCCTTGTATATACTGTACATGTTCTTCATAAAACATACATTTTATCAGTGGTAGAAAAAAACGGATTTTCCTTGGAACTGGGCTGGCTCCAAGGTGATATGCTCAGCAATGGAATGTCAGAATTAAGTCAACCGTCTGTCTGGGTAGTATCTTTCCTGAGGCAGGTGGGTAATCTGCTGATAACAGAACAACCAGCCTGATTCATTAGCAGGACTTAGAGCAGCGGATCAATCAGGCCCCTCTCAGATCGTATTACCTCTGCAAACCATGACTCTTTCAAGCAGCGGGTAGTGACCAGACAGTGTTCCCAATGGCTTGTAACTTTAGTTGGTGAAACTCCACCCCAATGAACACTCTGGAGTTCCCAAGCTTTAGTTCTCACCAAACTGCATTTAATAATCTGTGGAATAAAGGCAGCAGGATATGTCCCATCAGAGAGAAAGTGAGCATTCCATTCCAGACACAGCGACATTTCCATATGTGGGTGATAGGCATATATGGAACTCTCAGTCTGGTTTGGTTACTGTTGATCATGTTGATGGGTTTACACAATGTTTCAGATACATGGTTGACAAAACAAAATGTCTGTCATCTATCTTCTTCTATCTTAATATTAATAAAACGACAATGTCTGTCTGCGCTTCAAGGATCTCAATAACCGATTGACATAGAGAAATGATGCACAGCTCATCGGAAAGATCTTGCACTGAGAGTGACATCGGCATATTTGTTTTGGTGTATCTCCTATCATTCATGAGTTGTTTTCAGTTTTGTATTTTTCGCTGCAGTTACACCTGGTGGCCGCCAAGTTAAAGTGGCGCTGAGACATCATGCGTCACAGAACACCTATAATGTATGCACTTACTGCAGTTACACCTGGTGCCGCGCCAGCTGACCATGGTGCTGTGGCCTCCTGCGTCACAGAGCACGCATGTAGCCAAGCAGTGGAAACAAAATAAAGAACACAGACGAAGGTAAGCCGTGACAACAATAACATTTTTAAAGCGCCAGGTCCTCCCACAGGAGTCCTCCCAGGTGAGCATAGATAAAGACGAAATATCTGCCTGTGTGTCAATCTATATTCCATATTGGATCCTTTGGTGGCAAGCTAAGCTGCAAAGGGTACAGCTAATATTTTTATATATTGTAATATGTTTCAAAAAAATTATTGAAGGAAGTGTTAGAATCAGTATTTTCACATTGCTTCAATCTGTTCCTTTTCTTCCTTTCCCCCCAAACAGTATAAGGTAATATGTTAACATGATTGAAACAAAAAAATCCATTTTTTTCCTCCCTCCTGCTCTCATGTGGTTGAATAAGGTCTTGCAAATGGCTATTGAATAAACCTAGAGACAAGGGCTGTTAGGTTGATTATAATAAATAATAATCCTTGCATTTGATATAGCACTTTTCATGTCATCTAATTGTCTCAAAGCACTTCACAGAATATACTGTAAAGGAAATTGACTGTATATTTGTGGACGATTTGAAGAAAAAATAATGCCACGGAGATTGCAATGTTTCCTTGAACTCCCTCTCAAACCTAGGATGTTGAGGCGAATTACTGTGCCTCAGAAATCCTCTTCCATCTGAGATTGGGCAACTCAGCACAGCCCAATAATTAAATGTGCAAGCTTTTGTAATACTTTGCACTGAACATGGCAAGTCCTTTTACATAGGAGATCACCTAATTCCAGTGAATTGAACTGTAGTAAAATAAACAAATCTTTAGATGAGGTACAACAACAACAACAACAAGATTCCATTTATAAAGTAGCCAGAGATAGAAAATTGTACTCTGTACTAAAACATTCAGAAACTTAGGATACAGAAATTATGCCCATCGTCTCCCTCATCAAATAATCAGAAGACTGAAGAGGTTCATGCTACAATTTGATTAACATTTAATACATATTTTTATAAAATATTTTTAATACATATTTTAATATAAAAATACAGATTTTATATATTTGATTGTGCCTCAGAAATTTTAAAATTTTAAAATCTCAGTAGATTTTAAATTGCGCACACCAAAGTTTAGTCAATCCACTTTACAGTAAATCCTGTGAAGTACTTTGAGACGTATCTACGATATGATGAGGCGCTATATCAAATGCAGTAAGAGCCTTGGGGAACTACACCTTGCCCCTTCCATGCCTCCTTCAAGGCCTGTCTCAAGACCCTCTTCTTCGACCGAGCTTTTGTTCACCCTCCTATCCTACTTTACCTGCCATCCACCCCTCCTGATCCCAGCCCCCAACTCGGGTGCAAATTCTTAATGGTCTAGCCTTTCGACGTCCTCCCAAGGTGAAAGCTGCTGTACAAATGTGATTCGTTCTTGTATTTTCCTGCACTCTCCTTTTTATTTTCTACCATTAGCACTGATTTTCTCACGCCCTCCTTTTGCTTATCTTATTCACTCCTTTGATATTTATTTTCTTTTCCCTCCTTGGATGTTCATTTTCCACCATCCTCATATCACATTTGGTATTGTTTGGCCAAGACTGGAAAATGTTTTGCTAAATAGAAAGACATATTTTGTCATTTGAGAAAGAAAGAAAGAGGGGAGGGAAAGATGAGTCAATCGAAGGGTGAGAAAAGAGAGGTGAGGTCACTCATAGTTCCAGCAAGCAGTTGCTGGGGACAGGGCTCTTCTTACAATTCTAGCAAACTGATGCTGTGGTGTGGTCGGTGTCCGGGGTCAGAATATGGTGCTGGAGTCTGGCGCCAGGATTTGATGGTGATCATCAGGCCACTTTCAGATTTAGTAGGCTGGTGTTGGGATTAGAGTTGTTGCGGCTGGGAGTCAGTGTCTGGGGTGAGGACAATATAGTTCCAGCAGGCTGATGTTGAGGTCATGAGAGAGCTTAGGATGTAGTTGGCCCTTCGACTCATTTAATCATATCTTTCCAGAAGACCCAATCTCCCATCCAGAAACACTTTCTGAAATTCCTCTTTACAACCCTAAACCTGCATCCTCTGCTTTGGTGGTCTCGGTGCAGCCAAAATTATTCTTCTGGGTTTACTTTACCAATCCGATTTAAGATCTTATATTCCTATATAAGGACCCAACTTCACACATCATTTTTCTGGAAAATCTCCTTTGCATCCTCTCCAAAGTCTTGACATCCATCTTTGACATGCATGTGCACTTACTGGCTGCACAGAATTACACATGCGCAGTGGAAATTATTAATATTTTATATGATTTATACAGGTTTGCCTGTAAATCAGACTTTGTGCAAGTCATATTAAATGATAATATAATTTATGTAGGTTTTACTCCCCTCTGGGAGCAGCCTGCTTATGTCACAGCAACCATTGTTGTATGCAATTACTCAAAAGTGTAGCCTGACCAGAGCACTTTATATCTTGGGATATGAACTCAACCGATTTGGCAAATTAGCCCAGCATCCATTTTGTTCCATTAATTGTTGTCTTGCATTGTTTTCCAATGGTGAACAATCTAATACCCTTCAACCTCTTCCATGTTCCCCCCTTTAACACATTCTATGCCATCCATGGAACACATCAAATGCAAAGTTGACTTTGCCATGTTTTTCCTTTTTCAGAGTCAGGTCACCTTCCAGTTTAAGCAAGTGGGGGCAATATTTAGTACCTGGAGTCAGTGACCTGCACGTCCAACAGGATTGGACTGGGTGACTTGGGTCAGGAGCGGGTGGGTCACTCACAGTGCCAGCAAGGCTGGTGCTCGGGTTTGTGTGGGCAGGTGTTAGTGAGGGGCTGGGGCCGGTCACTGACAGTGACGGTAAGCGAGTGCTATACAAATGTAATCTTGTTGTTGTTGTTGGGGCTTGTGGGGGCTGAAGTTTGAGTAGGTCACTCACAATGTTGCCCACAAACTATACAGTCAATTCACTTTACAGTATATCCTGTGAAGCGCTTTTAGCCATCTCGAAGGCTTGATAAGGCGCTATATCAAATGCAAGGAATATTATTATAGTTACAGCAGGCTGGGGTGGGGGGGGTTGTTTATGGTGGGGGGTGTCACTCACAGTTGCAGGAGGCTGGGGTGGTGGGGGTGGGGGTGTTATTGGGGGTGGGGTCACTCACAGTTGCAGGAGGCTGGGGTGGTGGGGGTGGGGGGTGTTATTGGGGGTGGGGTCACTCACAGTTGCAGGAGGCTGGGGTGGTGGGGGGGGTGTTATTGGGGGTGGGGTCACTCACAGTTGCAGGAGGCTGGGTGGTGGGGGTGGGGGGTGTTATTGGGGTGGGGTCACTCACAGTTGCAGGAGGCTGGGGTGGTGGGGGGGGATTATTGGGGGTGGGCTCACTCACAGTTGCAGGTTGGCTGGATTATTGGGGGTGGGGTCACTCACAGTTGCAGGTTGGCTGGGGGGGTGTTATTGGGGGTGGGGTCACTCACAGTTGCAGGAGGCTGGGGTGGTGGGGGTGGGGGGTGTTATTGGGGGTGGGGTCACTCACAGTTGCAGGAGGCTGGGGTGGTGGGGGTGGGGGTGTTATTGGGGGTGGGGTCACTCACAGTTGCAGGAGGCTGGGGTGGTGGGGGTGGGGGTGTTATTGGGGGTGGGGTCACTCACAGTTGCAGGAGGCTGGGGTGGTGGGGGTGGGGGGTGTTATTGGGGGTGGGGTCACTCACAGTTGCAGGAGGCTGGGGTGGTGGGGGTGGGGGGTGTTATTGGGGGTGGGGTCACTCACAGTTGCAGGAGGCTGGGGTGGTGGGGGTGGGGGTGTTATTGGGGGTGGGGTCACTCACAGTTGCAGGAGGCTGGGGTGGTGGGGGTGGGGGTGTTATTGGGGGTGGGGTCACTCACAGTTGCAGGAGGCTGGGGTGGTGGGGGTGGGGGTGTTATTGGGGGTGGGGTCACTCACAGTTGCAGGAGGCTGGGGTGGTGGGGGGTGTTATTGGGGGTGGGGTCACTCACAGTTGCAGAAGGCTGGTGCCGAAATCGTCGCTCATCTTCGTGCCGCGCGCGCACCCAACCGTCACACTGGTCCGCGCAGCTGCACAGTGTCTCGCGCGCCCCTCAACCGTCACACAGGTCTCGCGCCGCGGGCAGCGCTCAACCGTCACACTCACCGTCAACCCGCGCAAGCGCGGGCAAAGGCCTTTTCGGGAGCCGCGACGCACTGCGCAGTGAGTGGAGGGCGCTGCTTGGGGTCGTTCAGCGGCTCAACGCGCCGGTAAGACGGCGACCGGTTATTCCTTTCCCAGTATCCCAACGTCAGGCCGACTCCGTCGCGTTGCTCGCGCTGTTGTCTCTTGTGTCAGGAGGTCGTGGGTTGAAGCCTCCACGAGCAATGTTGGCAGATGGGTCGGGTTCACGCGCCCAATTGGGCGGTTTTTTTTTTGCGTGAAAAACGAGCCTTTTTTTAAAAAAATTAGTTGAAACCTGTAAAAAAATATCTATTTTCCAAAGCACTAACCTAAATCGGCCGCTCGGCTGCCCCTTTTAGGCGACGCATAATATTGTTCCTACTTTTGGGCTAGTGTTTGGCCGTCTTTGGGCTACAAACTTATTTTAATTTCTGGCAAATGTTCGTTGTGGGTTGACGTCCCACGTAGAGGACTTTATTCTCTTTCAACCCCCAACAGCCATGAAGTGGAGGACTGCCAACATCCTGTCGAGTGCTTTTCTAAATTCTCCTCAGGCTCAGGCACAATATCAAATGCAAGGATTAATAATAGTAAGTCTCGCAATTGATATAGTTACTTATGTTGTTGAGACATCTCATGTGAAACACTTTAAGGCATCTCAACGACACGATACGGCACAATATCAAATGCAAGAATTATTATTATTATAAAGCACTTCACACAATGTACTGTGAAATGCAGCAGCCAGTTTTACACAGCAATGCCGCACAAACAGCCATGGAGTGAGTGACTCAATTTTATTTGGGGGATTTGTTGGCCAAGACACCGGGAGAAACTCCCTTTTTTTGAATCGTGCCACACAGAATGACTGCCAACATTTTTATGATTCATATTTTGTTAAACCAAAAACAATAATAAATTGGTCATTTTCAATCTACGACTGTTTGTGGGACATTGCTGTGCGCAATTGGCTGCCGCGTTCGCCCACAAATATACAGTCAATTCACTTTACAGTGTATTCTGTGAAGCGCTGTGGGACATCCTCCTGACGTGAAAAGCGCTATATCAAATGCAAGGATTATTATTATTATTATTATCATTCCCACACTTGCCCGGCTCCACTGGCTCTCCATCCCTCAGGATATAATTCAAAATCCTTGTCCTCACTTTCAAGGCCCTCCACAGCCTTGCCCCCTCCTACTTCCCTGACCTGGTAAAAACCTATCAACCCGCCGTTCAGCAGCCTGCTCCATGTCTCCTACCTGACGCCCCCCACCATCAGCAGCCAGGCTTTCAGCCTCTCTGCCCCCACCCTTTGGAACTTCATCCCACAGTCTCTCTGCCTTGCTCCCTCCCTTGCCTTCTTCAAGTCATGATACAAGACTCTACTTTTCAACCGTGCCTTCAGCGGCGCTCCTACCTCTCCCTCATCTCAACCCTCATCTCCTGCCCTCCCTCATCTCAACCCTGCCTCCCCCACGCTCGGGTCCTGATCCCCGACCGGTCAGCATCTTGGGACCTCTCGACATGAAAGTCGCTTTACAAATGTAATTTTGTTGTTGTTGAGATGTCTCAAAGAGCTTCACAAAGTATACTGCAAACTGGATTGACTGTATTTTGTGGGTGAAAAATGGCAGCCAATTGTGTACATAGTGTGGAAAATTACGAAGTGCAGCTAGGTTATGCTAGGTTATACAGATGTAACTATTAACTCCCCTGTTTACAACACGAGTACATGAATGGCCGATATGGTACGGCAGACAATGGCTGGATGTGATATGACTGATTTAAAACCGGACTGGTCCGCTTTTCAGGGTCAGACAAGACCACGTGATCGCGATAAGAAACTAGCTACGCGACTAGGATCACGTTATGTGAGCAGCTACATATGTAAAGTTATGATTGGATAATGAATTGTTGCTAAGCTAAATATTACTAATATGTGACAGTTGATTGGATGAATGTGTAACTCGTTTATCTCGGAAACAGGTAGAAAAACTTTTGTAAAGTACTGCAAGACAGAATGGGCAGCCCGGTCTCTGATTCTGGACTGGCGCTTCTCCTCGCATGCAAATAATAAAAGCTCATTGCTGTGACCAAATCGTCTGTGACTGTTAATTCCACAACAGTTTCTTGGAGGTTCCACCGAGATGGCAAAACCTGTTGACTTCGGACATGGGACGATATAGGCCAAGGCTCGCCGGTTAGTGACTCGATCTCGGTATATAAAAGGTAGGGATGTTCTCCCTCACATAGAGTCCTTCTACCGGTGAGATACGAAGTTTAGTTCCTGTGTAAGAAGAACGAGGTAAGCCATTAACAGATATTTTCGGCACCAGGACCAGTGGTTCGAGGCCCCTTGGGCACACGTAAAGATAGGGTTAAAGGCCCTGCAAATAATAGAAAAGGGGGTTGGAGGCCGCAGGCATCCGTAGTTGGCCAAAAAAGTATCAGTCCTATGATCGGTAGGTCTGGGTGGGTGTGTGTGTGTCTATTTGTTTGTATCTGTGTTCTGTGTGAGTACTTTGTCTATTTATGTGGGTGTTGTTACAACTACTAACATGGGTCACGGTACGTCGAAAGATAAACTCCCCGGTAAGGGAACATTTATACTATGGACCTGAAAGTATTAGTTTTGTAGAGAAATGGGAAAAATGGACTCGACTGACTGGCCAACTTTTCCGCCTTACGGGTCTTTTAACTGTGACGGCTTAGAAGCGTTAGCAAACATTTTAAGACAAAAAGAAAAGGGAAAAAGGAACCGCAGTGTGGGCTGGGGAGCCTATAATTCGTGGCTCACTGAGACAAACAGGCGAAAGGAGAAATCTAGAAGAAAGAGTAGGGGAGATAATAAGAATAAGATGATGCAAGGAAAAAGTAAGGTTCGAGAAAAAGTATTGGTGGCTCGGGCACAACGGAAGGTGACGATGGTTCTCATGGGAGGACTGGAGTTCCCCTTACCCTGTCCGAAACGCGCCACCAGGAGGAGTTCATGACCTAGTACGAGGGCCGGCCGCACCTTCGGCTCCTCCGGGGAACCCACCACCACCGTATAGGGGGGCCGGGAAATGGCGATCCTCCTGATTCAACCACCCCACTGGTAGTGTCCGGTGTGGGAGGGTCGCGTTCTCAGTATTATGGGGGATCGGATGAGTTTAGTTCTCTGGTGGCCAGCCGTACCAGGATCCACCGGGAGAACGAAATCCCGGTCCACCGGCTACCCATGAGGGCTTTTCCTGGACCCGATGGTCAGCCAGTCCATGTCTATTGGCCATGGACTCCGTCTGAATTACGGGCAATTGTAGAAGGTGCCCAGCCCCAAAACTAGTCTTGGTGAGTTTCTGCAAAAGTTGGAAATATTGCGTAAATGTCATAATCTGAGCAGGGAAGATATAGAATTGATGATGGATGCTTGCTTGGGTACTCATAAATGGAGACAAGTAAAGGAGAAAAGTCAATGGCCTGAGGGGGCTACACCGAACGATCAGCGCTTGGAACAACTATGGGGAAAGTTAAGTGAAGCGATGCGTGAAAGTTTCTTGAAAAATATTGATTGCGGTAAAATTCACGGGACAATACAGAAAGCGGATGAGGATGTGGGGAAATATGTTGAACGGCTTCGGAACATTTTTGAAAAATATTCCGGAATCGATGGGGCTGCGGGAATGCCTGCCTTGTTTAATGCTATTGTAAAAGGGTTGCAACCTCGTATAAAACAAATGTTCTGTACTGCGTGTATCGGATGGGAAGCAAAGTCTCTAAATGAAGTTGTGAGCGTCCTGCAGCATTGCCAGCGACAAATTCAATGCCAACCTCCTACCCGACCCTCTATCATAAAAATCCTGAGGCCTATTAGGGAGCTCCTCCACTTTCTGAGTATGACTGGATCCCCAGCTATGCCGAGCTCAGTCGACCACTGCAGGATTTAGCTCCTTGACTGGCAAGCTCCAGCCGAGATCTCATTTAACCACCTCAAATCTACACTGGCTAGTGCCCCAGCATTAGAACTCCCGAATTATGCTAAACTCTTCCACCTATTCATGACTTAATCACACGGGTTTTCACAGACCGTCCTCACCCAACAGCATGGTGACCAATACCGCCCTACTGCTTATTATAGTGTTCGACTGGACCCAGTGGCCCGTGCCCTGCCCGGCTGTTTAAAAGCAGTTGCCACGGCATATCACGTCGTGGTGTCCTCCCAGTCCATTGTTCTTGGCCATCAAGTCATCCTGCATGTGCCCCACTCGGTCGCCTGTCTCCTTACGAGAGCTGCTACTCAACACCTTATGGCAGCCTGTACTACTCGATATGAGGCCGTACTTCTCTCTGACCCTTCCCTTATCATCATCCGCTGTACCACCCTCAACCCTGCGACCCTACTGCCAATGGAAGACGACGGGGAGCCCCATGATTGTGAACTTGTTACGAGAGGCACTACACTACCCCGACCAGAACTGCAAGATCATCCTCTCCTCAATCCTGACCTCATTTTCTTCGTCAATGGATCATCCACTCGGACAACTACGAGAGACGTCCAAACAGATTATGCCGTTTGTACCTCCATTGATACTGTAGAAGCTGCCAAATTACCCTCTGTGTGTTCCACACAAGCGGCCGAACTCTTTGCCTTCACCCGCGCTTGCATCCTAGCCTCCGGACAAACTGCCAATATCTACACGGACTCACGATATGCTTTCAGCGTTGCCCACAACTTTGCTAAACTCTGGGAGGCTCGAGGATTTTTAACATCCTCCGGGACATCGGTCAAGCATGGACAACTTATTCGGAACTTAATGCAGGCCGTACAGCTTCCTGCGGCCGTGGCCGTAATAAAATGTGCCGCCCATACCTCTGGAAACGATGACGTATCCGCAGGAAATGCGTGTGCCGACCTTGCAGAAAAAGCAGCGGCTGCTGGTCACTGGGACTGTGGTAAAACTATGTGTTGCAACTGCTGCTATTACTCTCCCCTCACCCCTCTTATTAGCTCCCAAGCCGCATCTCCTAATTGCGAACGATCGGTTTGGAAGGCTGCAGGATGTCTCCAACAAACTAATGGGTTATGGGTCCACCACGATGGCCGCGTAGTTGCACCTCATAGCCTTCTACCCTGGCTTGCCCGCGTGTGTCATGGTTATACCCATGCGGGCTAGGGGGGATGAACAGTATTGTACAACAATCTTGGTATGCGCCAGGATTTGCTACAATTGCAGAAAAAATTAGAGCAAGATGTATGATATGCCAAAAATTTAATGCTGGTAAGACACCGGCTGTA